GGGTGGAGAATGGTATCTATAGCTGAGGAAGGGTGGGGTGAGGGCGGCATTCTTTAGGCCTGATGTAGGAGGTAAATTAAAAATATCCCTGGCTGCTTGGAGGGGGTCCAAGGGCGGCTGACACAGACCACTCAGTCAGGGAGCTCGCTGCTGATCCACTAAGCGCTCACTCATGGCCAATTATGCCTCCTGTGATGTGTGTTTCACACACACTCCTCACCCACACTCACAAATACCCACTACCCCACCTTTACCCCTGGAGCAGTAGTAGCCAAAGAGAAAAGGCTGTCAGAAAGTCAGGATCAAACCTCCAATACAACACTGGCTGTCACACGCCCAGGTGATGATTAATGGCTTATATTCTCTGACCCAGAGAAGAAAGGGGAGCAGAGAGTGAGCTACAGATGGGAGTTCTCAACTCATTACGAAGCACAGCAACATGTGTTGAGAAGACCAAGCATCCTTCCAAGTTTGCACAGCTCAGGAGCTGGCACTGTTATGCTATTACACCACTGAAAGATGAAAGTCAAGTCTTATTAGAGAGTGAGACTGTCAAGATTTTTTTTTTTGCTTCCAGGCAAACTTAACAAATTAGATTCATGGGGTTTGCTGGGGTTCACCTGGGTTCCGCTTTTCTTGGAAACAGCCAGAACTTCTCACTTCGTCTCCCACACACACATTCACAGTGAGTCTTGCTCCTGGCGTCCAGCAGCGTTCGGCGGTGGAAACCAAACACGGGCCTGTTTTGACTGGATGTGATCCTTGTTTCCGGGTAAAACGCTGCCAGAAGCAGATTGATGGCTCTCACCCAGAGGGGGGCTTTTACAGGAAAATCCGCCTTGCTGGAATTCTTCTTCTTCTCATGCTGGATTCAAAAAACGCAGGGTCATAGTCATGGTGAGCGCCAGGGCAAAGTACTCCCCAAATGCTGATGAAGGGAATGTTGTTGTGCATGTCACACGTCTCTTTTAAACCTTCATTGCTCCAATTTTATGCCTGAAACAATGACCAAAGGACAAAATTGAAAAAATAGTTTGAGGTTATTACGACTAGAAACAATGCATAAATATTCCGGTTTTGCTGGAAGTGAAAAATGATTGTTGATGTTACTACTGATCTTATCCAGCAAACAACGAGGTTCATGAACAAGCATCAACTTTGTCAGTTTATAGGCTATTAAACCAAAGAAGGTATAACATCTGTTTAGTACGTTTTTGGACATTTTCAGATTGTATACTTTGTTTCCAATAAGTCTAAATTTTCTTTTCACTCATTGGAAGTCTTTTAAAGTTTTTCTTTGGACATTTTCTCTCTTTTTTTTTTTTACTCATTTCTGTCTAGTTTACAAACTGACCATAATATTGCACAGATTATGTATGCAAAAGTGAACAAAGGAAAACGTTCATGCTGAAATTATATACGTACAGAAGATTAGTATGATCTGACATACATGGCTTTTGGACAAAAGGACAAAAATTCAGCAAAGACCTGAGCCAAGACGTCTGTCAAGCTTCAACTGACCATCAACTGTAAGCCAAGCATTTGGCTAACAGCTCTTTGGAAATCAGTTTTGTACATGTTTCATTTCAGAGGGAAAATAATTTGTTCACTTGATATGTTGGTGTGTAAAGGTATTGTGCCCATAAAAGTTTATTATTGTTTTTTTGCTTTTTTGTCACACTTAAGCTGATTTCTATTTTTTTTTTTTTTCCAGTCCAAAACAGTCATCCACTCAGTACATGACTTACACCCCCTCACCCGGGGAATACATCCATACTGGCTGATAACATTATGAGGTCATCATTCTATATGGACAGTGCCATTGCACAGAGAATGACAGCCCATTAATTATTAATCTTTTTAAAAACGAAAGATAAATAATTGAGCTGTAACCTAATGCTGATGAACTGACCATTAAGACAACAATAAATGAGGCATGCAAGCTTAGCTAGACATTTTCAATTTGTGTTTATTTTGAAATTAGGTTGATTAATGACCTTATTCCACAATTAAATGCTCCAACCATGTGGGAATTTTTTATTTTGTTAAAAAAATAACTACATTTTGTTCGGCATGTAAGTCACAATATTTTAGTTCACGAAAACATCTTGAAATGAACATGAGTAACTAAAACCAAATATTTACATAGACTTTATGAAAAAACAATTTTCTTTTTGATATTGCATCAGTCTAAGTTTGGCATGTTTCAGATCAGTTAGAACTACCAAACTGCTAATCTTCAATAATGAAAGAACTTTTTTTTTTTCACAAACTTTCTTAAAATTTAATAAGCATCCATATTTTGCCTCAAAATATGTTAATCATAGAAGGAGCTTTCTGCCACCTAAACAGTGTTGATGACTGGACCTTGTCAGGCTATTTAAACTTCTAGACATTTGCTTGAACAAATGAACTTGACACTTTCAGTCAACTGGGTGGTTGAACTCAAAGATGGACCTGTCTTCTGGAGGTCCCCAATTCTCTTTGTGATATTCTGGTTGATTTCTTTACAATTTTCCTGATGTCAAACATGGAATCAGTGAAATTGAGCCTGTAATTACATCCAAAAACATTCCTTCAGTTCAAGGCAAATATTATGAGTTGGATCACCCTCGGTTTATGAACTGATTAGAAATGCAAAGAGAATGTCAAGTAACAAATACCTCTTTTAAAAATGTATAAAATTAGGAATTTTAAAAATAGGTATCATTTTAATAAATGACTCTAAACAAGAACAGTTTAGTCATAATTGATCTCAGACATTTACAGATTCTATGCCAACATGTGGTTTCTGATTTGCTTCAATAGAACTGGAAGATTGTCACATCCACAAGTGGGAGAGTAGAGGGTGTTTCACTTCTGATTTCAATAATGTTTACTTTTAATTTGTTCTTCCAACTCTACCATTACTAAAAATTATATGAACTGTCCTTATCCTGCACTTAACTCTGGGGGGGGAGGAAGGGAATGATGGTCCAACTCTCTGAACCCCACTCCAGCCCTAAGGGCCAAAAGACTCCTACAATCAGCTTTGACTGCCCACAAAGAGACATGTTAAAACGCTGCCTGAACATATATGTACATATACTACACTCATTCCCACAAAGACCTTCAGTTTTTGACCACAAAATATATACAGACAGGCAAAAAAAGCTTTTTTACAAACATGTTACAGAGTGACTCATTCAGGATATGTTCTAGCGTACCAGTTGTATACGCATTCGTTAGTTGAATCCATATGACTGAAAAAGCCAGTCTGCCACATTCCTCCTCAGCAGCAGCATGACAGACCAGTTCCTTGTGTAGAAAATCAATAGGACAAAAAAACGTGATATTAAAGAAGCACTGAAGATGGAATGAGATAAAATCAATAGGAATAGGGAGGAAGGGAACACTGAAAAAATAAGTCATTGGATGAACATAAAAAAATTATGGAAAGGATTTCCACCTGATTACTTTGCTTTATTTCAGCACCATGTACTTGTGTCACTCTTATTTAAAGCAAATGTGTTAGGTCAACCTAATTTATTAAGATTATTCCAATGTAAAGCAAATGTGTTGGCTCAACTTGTTACAATGGTGATTCAATGGGTGATTCTAAATCAAAACATGTTGGCTCAACGTAATATATTGTGGTTATTCTTATATAAATAAAATGAGTTGGCAAAACATAATTCATTAAGGTTGTTCTAATTTAAACCAAATATGTTGGCTTAACCAGAATTATGGTAATGCAACGGATGATTGTAAATCAAATGAGTTGGCTCAACTCCATTCATTAAGGTTATTCAAATTCAAATGAAATGTGTTGGCTCAACATATGTTTTAAAGGTTCCTTTAACTCAGTTACTAGAGCGTGACCCCAGTGTAATGCAATACAGCCCGCCCAACTAATCTGCAATTTAGGACCAAATCATTGATGTAACTTCATTAAGATGAATATAAATCTAGTTGAAACCACCTTATTTTACAGTGGTGCCTTCACACTACTTGATTCAGTAGGTTCAACTCACTAAAAGTAAGTTAGCTCAACAAATATGCTTCATGCTAAAAGACAGCTAGTTAATCGTGTGGAAATCCTTTCCATTATTTCATGATGTTAGTTCAAAGACATTTTCAAGCGTTAATCAAGCATTTTAAGATAGCACTAGGTGAAAGTGTAGGAAGAACACTCAACAATTAGAAAAGGTACAAACACAATTGTATTTGCAGAATTGTTATACATCGTCTTTTTACACAGCACAAAAACACAGCTGAGTTGGACATTGAAATAAAAAAAACAACTACAAAAAGGTTACAGTTTCATTTCCCAGCCAATTCTTTACAACATAAAACATGTCAGTATAGTTGCTCAACTTAGAGAACTGTAACAATATAAATCTTTTCTACTGCAGTCTTTAAACACTGATTTTCCATATGAAACTTTACTCAACTTAGCGGCGAGTTTCATATTGAGAACTTGTGCTTCTTTGATAAGTTCTTTCCATCCAATTTCATTATTATTTTCTGTATTACTTCAAAGGTATGCTTGAGTTACTGAGCAAGTTGAGTGCTGAACGCACTAAACTTGAGGGTAGCTCAAGTTTAGCTTTGTACACTACATATGGCTCTGCAGACTTTTTTCGCACAGAATGTACCTAACATGGTGCGGCGATAAATGTAAACTTGAGGGTAGCTCAAGTTTAGTGCGTAGATTAGTCCCCAGCAGCATCACTATTGCAGAAGATACACTGCCCAAGCTGTTCATAACTTCCACCTCCTCCAAGACAATCCCAACATCCAGATGTGCATCTGCACCCTCTGCTCAAATGACGAATCCGAGGACAGTCTCGGCTTTGGCCATTTCTGCACATTCATCGACGTCCTAAGGGAGTTAGGGAAGGGTATTGGGGGGGAGACAATTCACATGTAATTAAATAAATAAATTAGACTGACATTGATTGAGTCACTCATGGACCTTAGTTGGTGAAAGTATTTTAACAACTCTTAGGAGTTCTATTGTAAACACAAAGAGAATTTAACATACCATGTACTCCCTCACCAGCTTCTCTGGATCTTCATTTAGGTACACACAGACCTTTGAGGATGCACTCTCATCTGCCCTCAGCAGTGTCATCCTAAATATGCAGATCAAAAAACAATGAGAACAATCTCAAAACTCCAGCAGTATAGGTTCACACACTTGAAAGCATAGCTGCATTCAAAGGAAGTCACAACAAAAGTGATCAGTGGCTTGCAGTCTGTTTGAAAGATATTTAAAATTGTTAGTATCCCTTCATTATGCCATGACTAAAATGGAGTTTAACATCTTATTTAAACATCTAACTGAAGCTGTTAGAGGTTTAAATAAAGACATGAATATATCACCAAAGAAATATGTGAAAAGTACAGAATGGTCAACACAGTCTATATCCTTCTACTTAAATGAATATGCAAAGCATTCCATGTCTTACAAGTACATAGACAGTCTATGTGTGGGCATGGGTAACGTCACATATGCCGGTGTTTAAGTGTAAAATGTTTTAACAGGTCATATCTACGAGACAGAGAGAGACTACACTCCTTACATTTCCACATCCCCACGCAAATAAAGACAAATAAAACAGACTGGCCAAATAAATGTTTAGCTGAACTCTAGCTTTATAAGCTCTCTAACACATTCAGTCACTTTAGATCTGGCAAAACTTACTATTAGCCACTGAAATCTATAACTTGATAGCCGATGAGCCCCTTGACCAGAACTTAAGCAGGTGGATTACAGACAGGTGATCAGGTGATGTTCTGAAAGAGATCAGATATATTTTCAGCCATTAAAATATGCAATTCATACTGAACTGAGTTGTATCTTTTAGTACAAGTCCCTTGAATGCCTCATGAATATAACCACTGGACACATGCAAGCACGTATGTGCAGAACAGCGTGAATTGAACATGGTAGAAAGCAATAGTAACATAGGTCAAAATGAGCACAAACAATCAACACAAAAAAACATCAACATTTCAAAATTAAACCAATGAACTTCAATATTGTTTTTGAGCTACAATTATTTGGGGACAACAAAGAAGAGTCCAAAAAAACCCCAACATCTTTACAGCAGAGGAATATGTATTTTAAAGAAAAAAAATAGAAAGCTCAAGTCTGTAATAATGGATAATCCATTGAGAGTTTTAGCCTGACAAAATATACTAGAAATCCATAACTAACAGGTATTTTAGGAACATTTAACAAAGCTCAAAGCAATGCTTTCTGCAGGTTTCACCGACTGAAATGTAGGACTTTTTATTACCATAATTAATTAAGAATCTCGATGATGATAGACAGGTACCAAAGTGTGTATCTACATTTACCTCCATAGTAACATTACTGAAATAGAATTAAAATAGTTAGAAATAGACTGATGCCAGATCCGTGTGTTAAAAATCCACTAAACCTCCAGGGAGCTCAGGAGGAGCAAAACTGTGACATTTCTGGGGTCCATTTGTGTCCCTGGCAGCAGCTTTGTACACTACATATGGCTCTGCAGACTTTTTCGCACAGAATGTACCTAACATGGTGCGGCGATAAATGTAAACAAAAAGCTATCTGCCTTAACCTAACCGACTTAATCTACAAAACATGAAATAATGTGACACAAGTATGGAACAATTAGAAAATGGTGCAAATGGTAGAGAAATTTTAAGTTACATATTTTTATATGGATTTGGATGAAAATAGTTTGACTCTTACCTTCTTCAAATTAAGTGGATGCACGCCAGGAATCTCCCCTCTGCCCTTGAAAAAACCCAACAAGGTGCAAGCCAGTTATCTCGCGTGATTTTCCGTAATCTCTTGATGTCGCTGGATCCTCTTCAGCGGGAGATGAGTCTGACACAATAGCGCTTTGGAACTGTGTGTTTTTTTTTAATTAGATTAACTTTGACAAATATTGATATTGAATAAAATTTTATATATATATATATATATATATATTATATATATCTTATATATATATATATATATATATATATAATATATATATATATATATATATATATATATATATATATACTGCGCAGGACCCTCAAGCTCCCAGGCCTCTGGTAGAGGACCCGAGCTCAGAGGATAAGAACCACCCGCGGTGGGTATATAAATGTTAATTAGATTTATTCAAGTTGAGATAACGTCATTCAATCACGTTAGTCCAGTTGAGAGAAAAAATCGATTGTCTCGCGTGTTCTCGCGTGATATCCCGTGATTTCACTCGTTGTCGTCAGCACAATATCAGTCTGACAATAATGAATCATGTTAGCTCAACATGATTCAATTTTATAAATGTGAAGTCGTGGAATATCTTGTTTATCCAACATGATTTTATCACGTTTTCGCTTCAAACCCAACATTATTGTGTGAAAGGTACATGATTTCTTTTGTTCATGTAATACGCCCGACGTTCTTTTTTTTTTTTGGCGGAAGATCTAGCTGACGTAATTGAATCACGTTATCTCACCTTGAATACATTTTATTCCATTTGCGAGAGAAAACCAATTGTCTCGTGTATTCTCGCGTGATATCCCGTGATTTCCCGTAATATTGCGTGAACTTGCATGATATCCCGTGATCTCACTCGTGGTCTTCAGCATAGGATCGGTCTGACTATAATGAATCATGTTAGCTCAACATGATTCAATTTTATAAAAGTTGAAGTTGTGGAATATCTTGTTTATGCAACATGATTGTATCATGTTTTTGGCTCAAACATGGAATTATTTAGTTAACAGTACATGATATTCTTTTGTTAATGTGATAACCCCTGAGGTTCCTTTTTTACAGTGAAGATGGAAGCAGTAAAATATGTTCATGTAAGGTATTTTACCATTCTAATGCGAAATATTATTCATTCTTTTTTTTTTTTTTTTAGGAATAATGTAGGATTAAAAAAGAAAATCCTGAACAGGAAATGGAGATTTATATGAATAAAGACAAGAACGCTAGAGCATAGATGGGGGGATGAGATGGAGACGGAGAGTGGTGACAGTGATAGAGAACAAGAGGACTCTTGGGACAGCAGAAGAGACAAGTTTATCGATCCAGGACAGCAAGCTGGCTCACATTTCACATCCTCAGCAATAACACCAGCTCTCTGCCATGGAATTGAGCCCTGCATCCCGTCTGGACAGGGTCACCTCCACCCCATATGCATCTGTCTTTGGGTGTGTGTGGCTTTCATGGTGTGTCTGGAAGAGATAGAGCAAGGTTTGGAGAAATATTTTTCTTTCGGTGGTTGCATATGAAATATTTAGTGATAATGTAAGGTGCAGTTGCTATGCCTTACAGTGTATTCCAAGAATCATACATTAAAAACAGCTGAAGAAAACATACACGGTGTGTCCAGACGTAAAAAATAAATCTGTATTTATTTCATTGCTGTGAAACTCTGTGACATCCAAATAGTTTATTAAATCTGGAGGCACATGCCAACCTCGCCAGAGGAACCTGATGCCTGAATGACTTGCATCAGCAAAAGTGGCAAGCTGAAAATGGGGAGTGGATTTGGCTCTGAAAGGCCTCCACTGTCATCTAAGAAGGCCGAACTCTGTGACAGACGACCAAACATGTGGCATCTTCCTGACCCCTGACCTGCCAAACCTTCCCCTATCTGCCCCTGCTGTGGCTAAGGGATGGCTCTCAACCTCAGCCACCACTGACCACTGGGACTCCTTTGTGCCCATAGTCCGTCACATCAGGAAAGGGCGCCCAGAGGTCACATAGCAAACAGGTGAACTTTGACTCTCCAGTGCGGGTCCTGGGATCTGGTATTTGGACATGGTGTGTAGAGACTCTGATAAGATTGAGACGTGTGGACAGATTAGAGATAAGACTGATATAACATTAACGATGGGTACATCCATGAAAGAAGATCACACAAAGAAGATAAAATACTACAACTTTCATCATGCAGTTGTCTCTTGATAACCTAATTCCAAACGGATAACTCAGGTAATGTGATATAGAGAACCAACACACCAACTCTGTGAAGTTTTAATTTGCAAAAACCAGAATTTACATACTCTGTTTTGTTCTCACTGTCTGAAGTTAAATCAGAACAAACTGCTCTTGTTTTAGGTCAAATACAATTCCCAAAATTATTTCTATTTGGTAAATGCAACAGTGATGAGAGAGAATGTGTGAGATGTATTTATTATTCTCATCAAAATCAAAAGTTTGCATACAGAATGATTGCCATCTCTTCATTAAAAAGGAAAAGCTCAAAAGATGATGTCATGGGCTTGAAAACCTCTGATAGGTTGACTGACACAGTCGAGTTAATTGGAGACATCCTTGGACAGAGAGGGGAATGTCAAACAAAATCAACCAAGATATCAGAGCTACACGAGTCCGGTTCAACATTGGGAACAATTTCCACGTTTTAAGGTTTGTCATTCATCTGTTCTAACAAGTTCAAGCAAGTATAGATATGATGGGAATGTCCAACCATCATGCTGCTCAAGGAGACGCATTCTGTGAATGTCTTTTGGTCGGAGTGAAAATTGATCACAGAACAAAAGCAAAAGATGCTGATTAAACCTGGTAAGGCAGACTGTCCATAATTAACACCTTTACATTTTGGAGGAAAAGGGGTTTTAGTTGTTCAAATCTGATTACTATCTAATGCAGTTAAGATAATGATTACTCATGAGCACTCACTCCAACCCCTATTAAAAAAAATATGCTGTTTTAAGGAAGAACAAATGTTGGATGGATCTGTCTGAACGCCAATTAATAAAGAAACCACTACTTTTAAACAGTTAAAGGAATCACCAAGGTATGTTTGTTTAATCAAATATGTCACTTAGGTATGATAAGTTATGTCCAGTCTTGTCATGTGTTTCCAGGAGAAGCATAGCATCCAGTTAAGAGCTTCTGGACCTGTCTCAAAATACTTTCAGCACCAGTTGGGTTTATACTTCCCTGACAAGCATGACCACCCACCCAGACAAGTACTGGCATTTCCAGTGAGCAGTTTCAGACTATTAGCCAGCATCAGATTTTCAAGCTCCAGAACCTCGTGATCAACATGACCAGCAGTCCTGGATTTAACTGAATGGCAACTTCCATCCCCGTCTCCCCTCCGTTCGCAGGAACAATAAAACTCTGTATTATATAAGGAAGAAGAAATATGGCTTTTTGGGACTTTTTTTGTTTTTATGGTAATTATTCTACTTTGTGCTTCTTTTCTTACATGAAAGTACATTCAGAAAAATTAACCATGAGGAAATTACACTTTTAAGTGTAATCTTAACAGTGTATATGTTCAACAAAATTTCGTGTCAAAGAAAAAGAAAGCTGATTTCTTGAAATAATTTAAGAACAGCTAAGTTTGCTTCGAGGTTCAACAATGGCAAGAAATCATATCAGTTATTCTTCATAACTTCACTGCATCCTGGAGACGTTTTCAAAGACGGCACAGCCTGAACTTCTGAACTCAGACTGATCCAAAGAAAGAAAAAAACCCACAAAGGACTCATCACACGCGTATCCTAAATCCGCAGCCCACTTGTACCACAGACTCCAGAACCCAGGGGTCATATCTTCAGCTCTGCTAAACTAACATCTTACTGACTCGGGTCAGAAAATAAACACAAGAGAAAAGAGCAGCCACAGCGTGACTTCAGCCCGGAGCAGACGCTTTTTACTGGCGGTTTATTTTTATTTGGAGGCACAATCAAAACATCCACGTGCAGAACTAGATGAGCACACATTCAGCGTAAACACAGGCATTAGTGAATAAAAAGGACGTTTCTTGTTTTCAACAAAGTTATAAATTAACACAACTGTACTGCAACAGTAGTCATTAATCTTTTTTACTTACTAGAGAAATTGGTCACACTTCAATACATTTTGTTGCCACTGCATGTGATGGACAAGTTCACAGGTGAAAAAAAAATGTGAATGGGAAGAAAATTTATATTTGTTTTTTTTTTTTTGTATTAAGCCTCCTAGAGTCAAACTTTGTTCAGAATTACCCGTCACTACATTCACTTTTATTTGCATATCTAGAGGCTGTAACAATCACTTACTTTTATTTGCAAAACAGTTCAAGCTCAGTCAGATTGGATGGACAATGACTCAAATAATCGCCATAGATTTTCAATTTAAGCCCAGACCAAAGATTTTGATCTGGTCTTTGACTAGACCAGTTGTGCCCAAAGTCAGTCCTCGAAGGCCAGCATTCTGAATGTTTTAGTTCTCTCCCTGGTGGTAGTAACAACTTTTTCAGCATGTCAATGTTCTTTGTAGGCCTTCCTTTGAGCCATAATTTCATACAAGTGCATAAAACCAGGGAGAGAACTAAAACATGCAGGATGCCGGCCCTTGAGGAACGACTTAGGGCACCATTGGACTAGACCATTATATAAAATGTATATGATTTGATTAAAACCATTGACCACTGACAATTGTCGATTTTATTTGCTTTCTCTTGATTAACATTTGATTAGTCAACCTGCACAACATCTGCAGACCAATCACTTTTCATATAGCAGTTAGTCGATTTTGTAATAAAAATAAAATAGAAGATTAATTCCTACATTTATTTATCAAAGTTCAAGATAAAAAATGTATTTATTTGGCACATACAACACCAGATTTGGCAATTTTCATTTATAAATATCAGTTTTAGGCCTTTTAAGCACTTTTGGCTTTCCATAAATCGTTCATATTTGACTTATTTTAGGCCTCTCCTTTTGTTTTCTGTTTTCAACTCCAAAAGCAACCCCACAGTTTGCCAGAGGCCTCCTGCCTGTCTTATGGGATGCTGTGAACTGGGTGTTATTATGTATTTGTCTTTCTATGTGGAGATAGTCACTGCGCTCATATGACTGAAGTGTACTTAGCGAG